GCGGTAAATCCTGTCCAGCCAGCATCAGTCTGATGCAGAACCAGCATGAAATGTTGTTGTTGGTTTTTTTTTTGGTTTTTTTTTTTTGCACGAGACGAAATGGCGGAAGGCAGTGATAGCGCTTGGGAGATTTTTTTCAGCCATCTAAGAGGAACAAATCGGTGGTCTGGTCGTATTTTGGCTTTTACAAGAGTCCTGTAGGCAATTTAATCGAGGACGGTCACCCTGTCTGCTGATCTTGCAAGAAGAAAGTCGCTGCAAAAGGGGGAAACGCATCAAATTTGCTCAGTCATCTTCGTGACCACCACCCACTGTTATAGCGAATGCAAGGTAGCTTTTACCTCAATACCAAAACTAACTGGGCAAATAATTGGACAAAAAATATTGATTAGAGATTAAATATTTCGTTATCTCACTTGTAATTAACGCAAAGCTTCCGCGAAGAAAAGTTCTCATGGCTTTGAGCCAAGACGAACGAACGTTCAAACTATGAGGTTGACATTTAAAGGGATACATTCATAGTTAACTTATTACACAGAATTTTTTTTGTTTACCTATAATAATATATAAATACGGGGATATGAAATATTGAATTGAGATTAATGTTTTGAAATCTTGCCTGTTTATAAATCCATTATGAACAGTGTACAAAACAATTGTCAGGACAATATGATCACTACAGCAAAATTATAGTAGTATTAATGCTAAATTCCTCTGATTTCATTTTCAAACAATCAAAAACTGAGACGCAAGACGGCAAGCTGCATTTGAATGAAACGAGAGAGCCGCGTCCGCGCCTCTGCGGTGATACAAGAGACATGGGCGAATTCCAAACAGAAGTGAGCATCCCTATGCCCTACTCCCTTCGAAGGGCAGAGCCCTTGAAGTGTGTTCTTTGAAGGGTGCAGGGTATTACTGTCTTGTATAAGCGTTTGAAACTCCCTTGGCATAGGGAATGACTGACCAAATGTTCCCTTGACAACGCTGCGCGTGCGTGCAGCATTC